CCACTGAGCCACCCAGGCACCCTCAAATATTTTTTTAAAAGATTTTATTTATTTATTTGACAGAGAAATAGAGAGCATAAGCAGGGGGAGTGGCAGGCAGAGGGAGACGGAGAAGTAGGTTCTCTGCTGAGCAGAGAGCCTGATGTGGGACTTGATCACAGGACCCTGGGATCACGACCTGAGCCAAAGGCAGATGCTTAGTGGACTGAGCCACCCAGGCACCCCTCAAAAATTTTTCTGATAGTAATTTGTGACACAAAAGTTTGGAGACCAGAGGACACCATGGTGCCTGGGGTGTGGTCATTAAACCCTACCCTATCCCCCATCAGAATTCCCTGTGGACTAAACATGCAGATTCCTGGAGCCATCTCAGACCCACAGGACCTCAATTCTCTAGGAGTGGAATGCTTAGAGCTTCCCAGTCTGATGCCTTCTGAAGTTTGGGAACTAGCACAATAGAAAAATTAGAGAACCAGGGCTATGAAAAGGGCAGAATCAGTGCAGACTGGGAATATCAGAAGCCCATTTCTGAAGGGAAGACCAATAAACGGTTACTAGAGATCAGGTCCTGTTGGGGCCTGACCAAGGGAGAGCAGTCACCCTCCTTGTTCTTCCAGAATTCTGGCCAATGTATATGGAAATGATGCCTATACTTCCCCCAACTACCCTTCAGTGAAACCTTCATCACCTAAGGAAACCTGAGCACTTCATCTCCTGATGGCTGGGGAGCAGGGCTAGGGAAAAACAATCTCTCACATAAAGCACCTGTAATCCAGGCAAAAGGAAAAAGTAGTGGACATAATTTAATTATGTATCTCAAGGAATGAGGATGAGATATAAGAATGTACGAGCCAGTGTTGTCTGTGAGCATATGAAAAAGGGACTGCACTGATTGAACATATAATTTGAAATCATGTGGGTGATGGTGGGGAGAGGGGCAGAGGGATAGAATCTTAAGCAGGCTCCACGCCCAGCACAGAGCCGGATCTTACAACCCCGAGATCATGACTGGAGCTAAAATCAAAAGCTGGATGTTTAACCAACTGAGCCACCCAGGTGTCCCTCATGTGGGTGATTTCTAAAAAAACATACCAAGTAAAAAGGAAGGCTATAGAGCTGAAGCTAACATTGTCCCTGTGACCTCAGGCAACTCACTTATTCTTTCTGTTCTTCGTTTATTAAATGAAAGGTTAGACTTTAAAAAGTTATCTTAAACTCCTTTTTGTGTTTCTAGAATCCAAGCTCAGATTTAACTTCTAGCTCAGGGTTCCTCCCACTATACCATGATAATTAAGAATAAATTAAAATTCTGGCCCCTTAAACTAGAAAATTCAGAAAAAGCTCCTATATCCGTAAAAACTAACTATTAAATTGATCTTCATGAAGACCCAATTTCTGCTCTCGTCAGCTCTTCTCCCCCACCCCAAATAGGGACTTCGAACATTGGTTGGTCCTTCATCTATCCAAAAAGCCAACTGTTTTCCAAACCTGAATGAAAATCCAGAGTGAGGCTGACTGATTTTTTACCCTGTGGAATGAGACTTCAGTATCAATGGAATGTAAATGTCCTATCTAATCAAAGTGACATCTGATTTTGATTTAGTGCGGCCATACTTTTCTTTCAGGGTCATACTCTATTTCTTTTTCCTCTTTTTGGAAGGAAGGCAGGTTGGTGGGTTACCCAGGCAGTCAAAATAAAGTGAAACCTACAAATTGTCACCACCCGTGGGGACACAGACATTACCTGACATAATACTTCCTACGCCTCACTGGGGCAAGCTCTGTTGAATCAAACTCAAGTGCAGTGACACCATGTAATACACTCCAATATAGTGTAGCTAATGCCAACATGGAGAAGTGGGAACTGGTGCCTGAAAGCTGCTGGTACTTGAAAAATTCCAAGGAGAACAAAAGTGAACAAAAAATTCCAAGGAGAGTAAAAGTGACAAAGTGACAAGGCGAACAAGAGTGACAAAAGTAGGGGCACCTGGGTGGCTCAGAGGGTTAAGCCTCTGCCTTTGGCTCAGGTCATGATTCCAGGGTCCTGGGATCAAGCCCCATATCGGGCTCCCTGCTCGGCATGAAGCCTGCTTCTCCATCTCCCACTCCCCCTGCTTGTATTCCCTCTATCGCTGTGTCTCTCTCTATCAAATAAATAAATAAAATATAAAAAAAAAAAAAAAAAAAAAAAAGAGTGACAAAAGTATGCCACATTTTTATTTCATGAAGATGGAAGGTGTCACAGCAGGATAGTCATCTTTGGGAAAAGTGAATAAAATGTCATCTGAGTCACCAGTTTAAAGACACTTTGCTTTAAAAATATAAACTTGATTCTCTGATATTACAGACTGAAATTTAGAGTTGTTCTGCACGTTAAACTGCAACCTAAAACATAAAAATTTTTTAACTATTTCTAATTCTTCTATTCCACTTCCTAAAATAACTGCTGTTAATAATGAATAAGGCCAATATTATAAAACTCAACTTCTCGATATATGTGGAAGTAAAAGAAGAAACCAATTGGCAGCTGGACCTAGTGGTTCACAGCAAAGCTCCAAATTCTGGCTTTACCATTCAATTGTTATGTGAACCATATAACACATCAATCACTCTAAACCTCAGTTTCCCTATCTGCAAAATGGGAATACTGATAGTATTTTACTTGAAACCACTGTGGTAAGGGTTCATTACACAATGTATATAAAGCATTTAAGATAGTATGTGGCATTTAAGTAAACATTTAACAAGAATTAGTGATTACCATCTAATGACAATTCCTATTAATTGCTGGGAGTTAAGCGTTTAAAAATTAAATAAATAAATAAACATAGAAAACTAGTTTCCAGCCTTCAAATATGCTAACATACCAATTAGAATATAATTTAAAATATAGTATGCACAGATATTGGACAGCTGCCTATTCTGTCTGATAAACATTTACCCACATGCAAATTATGTACTGGTTCCTTTCACTTTACAGTGTGACACTGAGATGACAACAGAGAAATGAAATACAGTACTGTGCCGTATGGTGAAGAATTATACCACCTGGCTGTGGATCTAACTGTCCATTCTTATTGCACCCTATTTCTTTTTAGACTCAAGCTCATTTCTTCAAGCCTTCAGGCTGTAGGCCATGTTAACTTGCAAAGCAGTTCAGAAACCCGTCTTTCACACTGGCAAGTACAGCACCAGCCCCATTCTCAGGCTCCAGTTTTGAATTATCTGGAGCTCACCACATCCCCCTTGTGGTCATGGCGAGTATTTGCTAGGCTCCTGGAGAAAACAACCAGGAACCTCTATCATCCACAGAATCTCGGTTCCAGACATCCTGTAGCTAACACTATTTGATTCCAGGATTCTTTTGATTAATACTTTGTGGATTTCAGGTGTATGCAACAAGAAAAAAAAAGACTCTTAAGAGAACCAGTTGAGAAAAGAAGGAACTGAGAATATATGTATGCCAGTTATTCCACTCAAACTCCTCCCTCCCTGTCATATACAACACAAGAATGTACAATTATCCATTTCTATTTTGCTTCAATGTTTAATACTATTTGTCGTTCCCCTCTACGTCCTTTTCCATCAGTACATTGTTTTAAAATATAAATCTCTACAAATAACTTTGATGGCCTCATAAAAGTCTATGTCCGAGGGAATTAAAAAACAAAAGAAATGGTAGAACATAAGCAGACTAGTTAGAATAATAACATAAGAGATAAGACGGGTAAGAGTGTGGGGTTAATTTTTTTTTTTTTTTAGAATTTCACCTACAACCAACACTATGTTTGACATTTATTTTCTTACTCCCACTTCCAACCCCTCACAATGCAAACTCTAGTTACCTTCTTTCCATCCCAAACTTCCCCCATTTCCTTCAGAATGCCTCACACAGTCATGATCACTTAAGAGCAGAGCATCTTTCAAAACAGCACTTTAAGGACAAGTTGCTTCACCTTCAAAATCAAGCACAATCTCACTGTCCTCTCATCAGTGAATTCACGTTTTGCTTTCACTGTACTCCTACCACTTAAAATCGTGTCTGACACGTGGTAGGCACTCCAGTACATTTATGTTTCATCAGCGAACTCTATTTGAAAAACCTAAAGCGGTCACACAGCCTCAGCCCCTGGAAACCGGCACAAGGTTCGAGATGGGCCTGAGGAGCTTCAGGGAGGCCCAGCACAGGGCAGCGAGGGGTGGCTAGGAGCCTCAGCGCAAATATTTTTCCTCTTGGGGGTCTGCACCACAATTAGCCTAACTCAACCCAACAAACTATGAAGGAAAGGCTGCTTTAGTAGTTAGAACCCAGAGATCCTTGTGATAAACAGCATGAATTCGTCCGAGGTCTGCACACCCAGGTGCAGTTCAAATTACCACAACAGGCAACCAAATGACGAACAAGAGAGCAGAGCAACAAACGTTCTGAGCCAGGAATTTTTACAGAACAAAAGCCCAGAGCAAGATGGCTCCCTTCTCCAGAAACTGGAGCGATAAAAACGTCAACGCTCAGGGGCCGTGTAAGGGCCGGGTCTCGCCCCGGGCTACAAGCCGGCCAAACTCACGTGCGCTGGGACGTCCAATGAGTGCTGTAGTTAGACTCCACCCCCGGTTTCCGCCGCTCCTTGTGCACATGCGCCTTAAGTGCGCAAGGGGATACAAGTTGCGCAGGCGCGGCAGGCCCCTCCTCTCACGCAACTGACGCAAGGACACTGTAATCGGTTCGTAATTTATCCGTGTGACCTTGTCTTTCCTGCCGCTGAGGACCGGAGCTATCCAAAGTGATGCCTTTATACCTCGCTTAGCCCCCTCGCCGCTCACTGAGCCCAGACCTGTTGCAGCCGAAACAAAAGGACACAGTTTTTCCAGACATCGTGCTGCGATGCCTAATAGCTACATGTCCTAACTCCGGGAGTGGCTGTCCCGTACTCTCTGGTCAGGCAGCACCAGTAGCGCCTCAGCGGAAGAGTGGTCCTCTAGGCCGCAGCAACTAACCCCCGCCCCCCCGACCCCACGTGGTTGGAGGTTTCCAGAAGCGCTACCGCTGGGGCGCCGCGCAGCTCTTGGCCGTCCGAACGCGTTTGCCGCTTCGTACTTTCACCATCTAGCGCCATGATAAGTGCTAGCCGAGCCGCGGCAGCTCGTCTTGTCGGCGCCGCAACCTCCCGGGGCCCCACAGCCGCGCGCCACAAGGTAGGGAATAGCTGGGTCTTCTCCGAGGGGCTCACGGCCTTGACCTCATGCTGCAGGCCTCGCCCTTCAGGCGCAGAATTCTCCCGCACAGATCAGGATGGTGGGAAGAAGATAAACAGCTTTCATTAATCAGTGCTGCCGTTGCAAGGTCTAACTCAGGATTGTGCTTCCATGTTTCGGGTTCTGCTGAGTCACACCTCTTAAAGGAGTATAGTTTTATTCTAGGAAGTAGCGGATAGTGTTTCTGACGGTCCTTTAAGTGGCTGATGACACGGTTTTGGTCTTGGGGGCGAGAGACGCAGTTTTAGTTGGGAGGGAACATTTGTTGTGGGTTCCGTTTCCATCTACAAGTCGAAGGGTGATTCTTCGCCTCCTCTTAAAATTTGTGCGCGAAGACCCCGTTGTTACGGTGAAAAGAAAGAAGGAAAGTATCTTAGTAAAGTGAAAGCCAAGCACAGATTTTCTTTCTTAGGAACATTGGTCTGTAGTTCTCCCAAAATTTTTTGGCGTAAGATTGTCCTTTCTTGTTATTTCAGGAAAAATAAAACCAGGAAATGGTCATGGAGTAGTTGCTTATTCTGTAAGACTGAACAGGTTTTCGGAGAACAGGACCTGGTCTCCTCTCTGCACTCACCATGGGGTTTAAAAAAAAAAAAAAAAAAAGGCTTAGGAGTAGCCTGTGATTAGGTTTAATCCTGGTTTGAGGCCACTCCCGAAATTTTTTTCTAAACGACTCCCCAGGATTGCCAGTCCTGGTCCCCTTAAGGTGCTAGGTTGGGAAATGTCTCTGAGCAACTTACATTTGCAGCTGTGAGCACACCTAGTAGGGTTTAGATACCTGTACACTGCTGCTGAGTATGAAATTGAGAAGTGTCCGAGTAGTGTCTTGTAAGATAGTGATTCTCAACGGGGAACAATTTTGCCTTCTGAGGTGATGTCTGGTAATGTCTGGACATGATTTGTTAAAATTTGGGGGCCAACTGGCTTCTAGCAGTAGAGGCCAAGGATGCGGTTAAACATCCTACAATGCACAGAACAGCTGCTTGCAACAAAAATTTGGTTCATAAGTCAGCAGTGCCAAGGTTCAGAAATCAGTAGTGCTAAGTTGAGAAACCCCATTATAATTGAAGACGATTTTATGTGGGTGGGGGGGCTCCATCTTATTTGGAAATTCATATGCAATTAAATTTTCTTCTATTTAATAGAAGATAAAAGATAATAACAATATCTTTTATATATAAGTTCATCTTTTCAGGTTACGGTTACCAGAATGAGGGTTCAGACTTTGTGTTCTTCAGAAGGATAATGGGAACAGGCTCAAGTTTTCATATTTGTTGATTCATTTTTATCTTTCTTCTTTTTTTTTTTTTAGGATGGCTGGAATGGCCTTAGTCATGAAGCTTTTAGAATTGTTTCAAGGCGGGACTATGCGTAAGTATAACTTCGTTTCCTTTGAGAGGTAATAAATATTAAATCCTAGAATGGTGGTCTCTAAACTTGTGCTTAACTCTTCCATGAAGAAAAAAGTGACACATTTCTTATAAGTTACAGATTATTTAATGCACAGCTATTTACGCACAAGTTCTGGTGTATCCCTGCAACCGTTCTGGAGACCACTATTATGATAACATTAACTGTAGCGTTATTTTAAATGTCTTTTAGATCAGAAGCAATCAAGGGAGCAGTTGTTGGTATTGATTTGGGCACTACCAACTCCTGTGTGGCGGTTATGGAAGGTAAACAAGCAAAGGTGAGCATGTTTGGAAGCTCTGGATCATATAGTAGTAGTTAATACCCAGTCTGGAATTCTGTGTCCTTCAGCTTAGATGAGGGACTTTTTAAGATTTTATTTATTAGTCAGAGGGGAGAGGGCACAAGCAGGGTCAACGGCAGAGGGAGATTCAAGCTCCCCGCTGAGCAAGGAGCCCAGTGTGGGTCTCGATCCCAGGACCTTGGGATCATGACCTGAGCCCAAAGCAGACACTTAACCAACTGAGCCACCGAGGCATCCTGATAAGGGACATTTTTAAAGCTGTTTTTAAGAATCTTTTGAGGTGAACCTTTGTTCTTAATTGCAAGGTGCTGTAAAATGAATGGATTTAACTTGCAGGATTTAATTATGTCCTGCTGTAGAGGTAGAACTATTAGGTTACCATTAGGACCAATTTGGATGACTTGCTCTGTGGATTATTTCTATCATCCGAGTCATGCATTTCTATAAGTCTTGAACCAAGGAGGTGCAGGAAGAGTTCAGAAGCAAGTGAAGCTCCACATAATGGGTAGGCTGCATCTTAGGAACTCTTGCTGTGATACAGGGAAGGACCTCATTGGTTTGTTCATAAAACCTTTAGTCCCACTGGGTTCTTCTCAAGATGCAGAGCACCTGGGATTCCTGAATTGTTATTTTGGCAGGTTTTGTTTTGTTTTGTTTTGTTTTTTAAATGCCTGAGACTTGGAGGCAGCATGAAAAAATTTAGTAGTAGATTTTTTTATTTTTATTTTTTAAGATTTTATTTATTTGACAGAGCATAAGCAGGGGGAGCTGCAGAGGGAGAGGTAGAAGCAGACTTCCCACTGAGGAGGGAGCCAGACATGGGGATTAAAGCCAGAACCCCAAGATCATGATCTGAGCCAAAGGCAGACACTTAACTGACTGAGCCATCCAGTTGCCCCTAGAAGTAGATTTAATTCCCTATACTGGCAGAAAGCATACCTTGTTCCAGGATCTTACTGTGAAAGATTTGATTTCTATTTATTTTTCCATTCTTTTGTTTTTAGTTATCACTTGTTTCAAAGTAAAGGACTGACAATACTTTAGGGGCGCCTGGGTGACTCATTTGGTTAAGTGTTCAGCTCAGGTCATGGTGTCAGGGTTGTGCGATCGAGCCCCACATCGGTTCTGCACTCAGCTGAGTGTGTGTGTGTATGATAATTTTTTTTTTTTAAAGTAAAAATACTTTAAACATGTACCTGACATAGTGGTTACTATGTCAGCATTCACAGAGCAGAAAAGCATGCCCATTAGTACTGTTCTTGAACATTTGTTTCACGATAAGGCAGGTGTTTTGTCTTAAAATGATTGGTAAAAGAGACTGGTGGTAGTGACTGGACCTCATTCTCTCTCTGTCTTTGGGAGTTTTAGGTGTTAGAGAATGCTGAAGGTGCCAGAACCACCCCTTCAGTTGTGGCCTTTACAGCAGATGGTGAGCGACTTGTTGGCATGCCGGCCAAGCGACAGGCTGTCACCAACCCAAACAACACATTCTATGCCACCAAGCGTCTCATTGGCCGGCGATATGATGATCCTGAAGTACAGAAAGATATGTGAGTAATAGGAAAAGCATAATTAACTCCCAGAGGCCACACAAAAAAATCTTTTCAGCAAGATTCTTAGAGCATCTTCTCCTGGTATTTTTATACGTTGTCTGTGGAGGCATGTCCTGCACCTACCAAAAGAGTATTTCCTTCAAAAAAAATTCTTTTGCCTTCACATAATAGGTCTTTGCTATGTACTGACACGATGGGAAGATTTAGCTAGTCATTTATGGACGACATAAATTGGTGTATTTATGGTAGAGAGAGGCAAGGTAGATAGTGGCATAGGGTTCATCGTGTGCTGATCAGCTAGGATTTCCAAGGTTTGTCCATGGTTACAGCATGTATCAGTACTTCATTCCTTTTTATGGCCAGATATTATTCCTTTGTATGGATATACTGTTGACCCTTAAACAGCACGGGATTGTGGTGCTGAACCTTGATGCAGTTGAACATCCATATATAAATTTTGACTACCCAGAAAGTTAGCTACTAATAGCCTGCTGTTAATCAGAAACCTTACTGATAACTAACATAGCCCAGTTAACACCCACTTTGTATGTTATAAAGTACGTTAGAGTAAAAAGAAAGTTAAAAAGTCATAAGGAGGAGGAACTCTTTGTAGCATTATATTTACCCAAAAATATCCGCATATAGGTGGACCAGTGCATTTAGAACCCATGTTTAGGGGCAAGCGTATACAACATTTGTTTATCCATTAGTCAGTTAATGGACATCTGGAGCTATTACTAGTACTACCATAGGTGTGCCCAGTCAAAACAACATATGACTTGCTCTTGTGGGTCTTGGGTTAAACTCCATGTTGGTTGTAGAGATTACTAAAAATAACTTGAGAGAAAGAATACTGCCATAAACATTTGTGTACAGGCTTTTGTAAGAATCTGTTTTCATTTCTCTCAGGTAGATACCTAGTAATGGACTTGCTGGGTCATTGGTAACTCTCCAACCATTGCCAGAGTAGCTGCACAGATCTTTTGTTCAGCAGGAAATAATGTTCGGGTTTCACCAGGATGTTTTTACATGTTATTGGTTACTTTCTAAAGGTTTTCATTAAATGGATTCCTGCCAAGTTTTTGTTTGTTGGCCATGGATCTCTTGGGATGGAGGATGGGCATTCAAGAAATATGATAGCCTTGTCATGGTAGGTTGTACAGGCACATTTTTTCAAATGCAATTTTTGTGTCTTTCAGTAAAAATGTGCCCTTTAAAATTGTCCGTGCCTCCAATGGAGACGCCTGGGTTGAAGCTCATGGAAAACTCTATTCTCCAAGTCAGATTGGAGCGTTCGTGTTGATGAAGATGAAAGAGACTGCAGGTGAGAAGATTTAGTTCCTATCTGGGAAAGTTTGAAGAACTGGATGGTTTCTCACTTACATACCTCGGTGTCCCTTGGATGAGTCTGTGGTGGTTGTTAGACAGAAAACCTAGAAATGGCAAAACTGTTCCTCCTCACACATTCCTACATAATGAATTTATCTTCAAAGTTTTCCTAATGGTGGTTTAGCTTTTTCAGTATAGACGGGTGGTATTCTGTATTGAAAGACAAAAGACTACACATTAATCTTTGAGCTCTGCTAAGTAAAACTTAAAACTTCCCAATTGGAGAAACTAGTGGCTGTTTTAAGTCTAAGAATAGGTCATTATAGCTGGGGAATCTTCACTATAATGTTAAAGGTGAGATACTGGGTTTTCAGCCACTATCTTTAATTGGAATGTTTTCTGCGAGCTCTCTCTTGGTGTTAGGTCAGATGCAAAGAAACTTAAGAGTTGTCTATGGCTCCAAGAGGATAACACAAGTTGTTAGCCTACATGAGTAATTCTCTTAACTGTTTCATCTGACAGAGTCTCAGGATTTTTTTTTCATTCTTTAATTATTTTCCAGAAAATTATTTGGGGCATACAGCAAAAAATGCTGTGATCACTGTTCCAGCTTATTTCAATGACTCTCAGAGACAGGTGAGTTCAGTTGGTTTTCTTATTCAGGAAATAAGTGGTACTTAGGACACACAGTGGAAAATGCTTTTTTCTTTTCCTTTAGGCCACTAAAGATGCTGGCCAGATATCTGGACTAAATGTGCTTCGAGTAATTAATGAACCCACAGCTGCTGCTCTGGCCTACGGTCTAGACAAATCAGAAGACAAAATGTAAGTTTGTGTAGTAAACTCATTCGTGGAACCATGAAAGTACTGGGCTGTGGTCATTTTTTTTTTTTCTTGGTATTCATATTGTCAAGTATTTATTTAAAATAGTGTTTGGGGACATCTAGCTGGCCCAGTCAGGAGACCATGTCACTCTTGATCTCAGGATTATGAATTCAAGCCCAAGTTGGTTGCTGAGACTGCTTTTTAAAAAAAAAAAAAAAAAAAAAAAAAAAACAGGTGATGGAGTCCCGTCAATTTTGCCTTTAAAAACGTAATTCATCTCTATTTATAAATAGCTATAAGGGCCACGTAGTAAAACACCTGCCATATGGGCAGTTATCCAATTTCATTATTACGCTTAAGGGGAAATCATCAAGTTTATGTTGGTTTAGTTATTAAAATTAATACTTTAGTGGCATGTGTTGTTCCTTAAGGTCTTCTTTTTTTTTTTTCTAGCATTGCTGTATATGATTTAGGTGGTGGAACTTTTGATATTTCTATCCTGGAAATTCAGAAAGGTGTATTTGAGGTGAAGTCCACCAATGGAGATACGTTCTTAGGTGGTGAAGACTTTGACCAGGCCTTGCTACGACACATTGTGAAGGAATTCAAAAGAGAGGTTGGTTCCCATTATAATTAATATGTAGACATTGGGATGTTGAGAATTTTCTTTATCCACATGGCTGTTTGCTTTATGACTTTTTGACCTTAATAGAACATTGGCTAAACACTGAAACAATTGCATTTCAGTTCAGTTGCAATTGCATTGCATTTCATGGGTGGAATGAAATATTCTGATTATTGTAGCTTCATCTTGGGAATAAACAGATTAAGAAGGATATGGTACTCTGTATAATATTGGCAGAGGAATTCTGGGAACTCCTGTCTTAAGCCAGAACCCAGTGGTTGGAAAGAACTGATTTGGATCGCCCTCTGTCTCCAGGCACAGATAGCCTTTACAGAATAAGGTTTCTTTTCCTTACAGATTTTTAAGGGCAGTAAGTGATTCGTGCTTATTTATAAAGGGATGGATCTGTTTTATGTTGTTAACATTATCACTGTATCTTAAAATAGTATTTATCAGCTTGCTAATGCTAGTATTTTGTGTTTTCATTTTGTAGACGGGGGTTGATTTAACCAAAGACAACATGGCACTTCAGAGGGTTCGGGAAGCTGCTGAGAAGGCTAAGTGTGAACTCTCTTCATCTGTGCAGGTGGGATGTGGAAAAATCCCAACAGTCTTGATGTTTTCTGTTTTCAGCCTTAATTTATTTGAATTCTATGTTCTAATTTGCATGATGTCCGTCTGATCTTTTTATACTTTGCTGGTTGGTGTAAAAGCCCTCCATGAACAAAGGAGCAGTACTTCTTTAAGGATGAGCCAGAATTTGTTAACCACCCAAATAAGAGGTTTTCTGTACCGGAGCCAAAACATAATGATGATCTGAATTACATTGAATACATTTTATTTGCCTTAAGGGCACTGATTTTAAGATCTAGACTAGTAGCATACAAAATTAGAGTCACTGGCCTAGAAATAATAGGACCCTCTAAGAACTGCTATTGTCTTCATTTCAGATAGCCCTTCAGGTGAGTCTCTGATTGTCTAGTTTAATTATTTGGATCAGCAGTCCAGAAAGTGAGCTATGAAACCTGGCTGAAGGCTGGGGTATAGATACTTGTGTACATTTCTTTTAGCATCAGAGTTGCTCAGCACCTATAGAAGGGGTCAGCATGTGGTATCCAGTCCTTCTCAAAAGGTGAAGCTTTAGTTTGCCATAACCACTGAGAACAACTATATAAAGCATGTTAGCTCTGGGTCAGAGAGGCAACAAGATGGAAGGCAGGAGATCTGTTTCTGGGATCTCTGGTGGCAGCAGGAAAGCCTTAACCCATCACTACTTTAGTAGTTAATTTGATCATATACATTGGGTTATCCAGTGGGGGGAAACCCAGATTTTTTTTTTTTTTTTTTCAGATGTGGATTTTTAAAAAGTTTTTTAAAGTAGCTGTGAAGAGTGACAAAGTACAGAGTCATCCATAATTACGGTGTTGCTTTGTCCCTGCTGTCATACAGAGTGGCAGAATTTTGCAATGTGATGGTTAGGATTAGAGTTGGAATACATGACACTTCTTTGGAGGTAGAGGTTGGTTTTTAGTGTGATTCTTACTGATAAGCATTTGGATTCTAGCATTTTGCTGGTAAAGCAGAGTGTGTTGAGCATTTTTGCACATTAATGTTTGTGCATGTTTACTTAGAGATTAGTAGAACGAATTCCTAGAAGCATCACCTTCATGAGGTTTACAGTGTGTTATAGAGGTTTTTTGTTTTGTTTTGTTTTTTTAAGATTTATTTAGAGAGCACGTTGTGGGGTAGGGGGAGAGAGCAAATCCCACCCACGCAGATTGCCCGCTGAGTACGAAGCTCAGTGCAGGGCTCCATTCCAGGACTGAGATTACGAGCCAAAATCAAGAGTCAGATGCACAACCAACTGAGCCATCCAGGCACCCCAAAGATATAAATTAGGACATCATATTAATAACTAGTCAAGCCAGAATTAATGTGATTTAAGAGTGGCCCTGTAGGGGTGCCTGGGTGGCTCAGTGGGTTAAGCCTCTGCCTTCCGCTCGGGTCATGATCTCAGGGTCCTGGGATCGAGCCCCACATTGGGCTCTCTGCTCGGTAGGGAGCCTGCTTCTCCCTCTCTCTCTCTCTCTCTCTCTCTGCCTGCCTCTCTGCCTACTTGTGATATCTCTGTCAAATAAATAATTTTTTTTTAAATCTTAAAAAAAAAAACAAGCGTGGCCCTGTGGACAGAATGGTGGGATTCAAGTCCTTTTTCATTACTTAATAGCTGTGTGGCCTTAATAAATTATTTAACATTTCTGTTCTCTTATCTCTAAAATGAGGACAATAGTGCTTTCTCCCTTAGAGTTATGAGGATTCCTAAATTGATACATGGTTAGGACGTGTCTTAAGTAGTAGTCTGAATTAAGTTATTGGGGCACATGGGTGGCTCAGTCAGTTAAGCGTCTGCCTTCGGCTCAGATCATGAGACCAGGCTTCTGGGATCAAGCCCCACATTGGGCTCCCTGCTTAGTAGGGAGCTTGCTTCTCCCTCTCCCCCTGCTTGTGTGTACACGTGCACTTTCTCTCTGTCTCGAAATTTTTAAATAAAAAAGTTAATGTGGTAAAAAAGCAAAGTTAGATTTATAATTGTAAGAGAAACCTGAAAAAGGTGTTTGACCTAACAAGGGGAGTTTCTGAAAGATGTTCGTAAGAGCAGGACAAAGGGTCAAGTAAATAACGAGGCTCTGGGGTAAAGACCTGAGAAAGGGCTAGTAGTTTGAGAGCAGGCATGCTGAGAAAGTAGAATGTGAGAATAGAGGCTTTTTTATAGGTTTGGGATTTGGGTCTGTCCTGACAAGAGTGAGTATAAACCAGTGAAAACTTTTTTTGAGTGATCGCTACATCCAACATGGGGCTTAAACTCATGAGATCAAGAATCACACACACTGCCCCCTGAGCCAGTCAGGCACCCCTGTGAAAATCTAGGAGCAGTAATGTCAGATGTGGCTTATGACAAGTGCACTGGCAGAAGTGGAGTGGAGAATTGTTCTGGGTTAGGAGACATCCTGTGGCAGAGGCAGCTTGAGTGGGAGAACCTTGGGAAGCTAATGTGGACCTGGACTAGAGTGTGAGAAACTTGAATTTTTGAGAGACAAGGGACAAAACTTGGTCACAGACTGGTTTTAGAGGGTTGAGAGTCCTGGAGTTCAAATTGTCAACATATAGCAGAGAGAGAACTACATTAATAATGTCCATGTGAGGATTTTTTAAATTAAATTTTAGAATTCCATTTGTCAGTTGTACTGCCTGTATTTCAAGTGCTGAGCCATGTGTGACTAGTGGCTGCTGAATTAAACAGCACAAATACAGAGTATTGCCGCAGAAAGTTCTGTTGGATTTGTTTAGATCATTAATTTCTATTTTCTGATTTGGTTTATCAAAATTTTGCAAAGAAGGAAATTGTCCATGGTGTTCTTTAGCTGTACTCAGTATCACTCTTCTATAGAAGGGATGTATGTTTTAAGTCTGGCTATTAAGCATTTAAATGCCTAGGGTAGTTTACCTGATGATGATAGTTAAGGATTTGTTCTCTCTTAGTCTTTTTCCTGTTGGCGTTTCTTTGATGTGAAATTGGAAGGGGGTGGAAAGTAATTTTGTTCCTGAGGGTCTACCGTAGGACATGTGTTTCAGCATGATTAGTAAGTTTTGTTAGTCTAAATATTCTGAATGCAGGCCTTCTTAGGATTTGGGGTTTATTAAATAATAGCTATTACCTGCTATGGTTGTAGCAGTGTTTGCTGCTTACCATGAAGGTGATGGCAGTCAAGTCAGTCTTCAGAGTTACCTTTAGCATTTTTGTGTAGCTTTTGTACCATCTTCCTGAAACTTAGAAACCCCTGGCTTGGGGCAGGTTATTTGGTTCAAAGCATGCCTTTGAATTTTTTGTGTATGCATACATTGAGTTTTAGAAAACTTGGTGACTGAAAACAGTAGTGTGACTCCTAATGTATGTTTAGTGGGAGGACATTTCTTCATTTTCTACGTGGGGATTTTCCCTGCTCTTACGTTCTTCACTGTTTTTTTGGTTTTTTTTGTTTAAGATTTTATTTATTTGCAACAGAGAGCGCGAGAGTATAAGCAGGGGGAGCGGCAGGCAGAGAAGAAGCGTGCTCCCTGCTGAGCAAGATCCCAAAATTCTGGGATCCTGACCTGAGCTGAAGGCAGACACTTCACTAATTGAGCCACCCAGGCATCCCTACATTCTTCTTTGTTCATTATAGATTCTACATTTTTTGCCTCTGGAAGAGAAGAGCTTGAATCTTAAGGAGTCATTGTCTTTGGTAGCCATTCATTTAAACTGGGTCTCACTCTCCCTGTAACTTTGGAAGTCTTCATAAGTGGGAGTATGGTCTTATTTTAATTGAAATATATAAAGAAACATCACCACTATTGCTCTCCTTGCTTTCTTTGCAGACTGACATTAATTTGCCATATCTTACGATGGATGCTTCTGGACCCAAGCATTTGAATATGAAGCTGACTCGTGCTCAGTTCGAAGGGATTGTCACTGATCTAATCAGGAGAACCATTGCCCCATGCCAAAAAGCCATGCAAGATGCAGAGGTCAGCAAGAGTGACATCGGAGAAGTGATTCTTGTTGGTGGCATGACTAGGATGCCCAAGGTATGGATCCATGGAATCTTTGGCCTGGAAAAGCAGACAGGGCAAGCACATAATGTCTTCTCTGGACAAATCGTTTGTGTACGGACATGAATATGTGGCATTCCTGCCACAGTGACCTGAAAGGGCAACAGTGAGTTTGTTCTCTCACTAGAGTTCTTTTTTAGACTCTTTTGGACAGAGAGAGAGGGAACACAAGCAGGGAAAGGGAGAAGAAGGCTTCCTGCTGAGCAGGGAGCCCTATGTGGGGTTCAGTCCCAGGACCCTAGGATCATGACCTGAATCAAAGGCAGACACTTAACACCCAGGCACCCCAGCCTCTTTTTTAATTAAAGGTATCAGGAAAAGGATTGGGAAGGATGGGATGTCTTTGGGGTGGTAGCATGGAGGATCCTGAACTTCATTTTGGGGAGTAGTTTTAGAAATGAAACACCTGAACTTCATTTTGGGGAGTATTTTTAGAAATGAAACAAAGTTTGACATCAGAGATAGCTTAAAACCTTGGTACTGTCTAGCTCTAGGGGCAGTTTTGGACAGGAATGTCTTCGCACCATGGTGTTTAGGCTTCTGGCTGCATCTCTTCAACAAGGATTTGTGCAGTGATGCATTTTATCAACACATCATTCTGATAAGACAGGTGTGGAAAACAAATGACTGAGCACAGAACCTGTTGACGATGCAGTTCTTGGCTGTATAGCTTGATTAGAATTTTCATGGGCCTTGATAGAAATTTTCCTTTGTTGTTCCTGGGCTTAGGAGAATATGCACAGAATAAATTTGGAGAAACAGAATAAATTTGGAGAAAAAGAAGCTTTGAGGGGCGCCTAGGTGGCTCAGTGGGTTAAAGCCTCTGCCTTCGGCTCAGGTCATGATCCCAGGGTCCTGGGATCGAGCCCCACATCGGGCTCTCTGCTCGCCAGGGAGCCTGCTTCCCTTCCTCTCTCTCTGCCTGCCTCCTCTCTGCCTATTTGTGATCTCTGTCTGTCAAATAAATAAATAAAATCTTAAAAAAAAAAAAAAAGTAGAAGCAGCTTTGAATCAGGAAGAGATCTTTAGGTTAACAAATTATCCCAGATGCTATTTAAGTAGCACTTTTTCTGAGCATTAATAAAAGAAGCAGGAAGAACATGCCTCACATTAGCACCAGTGTTGAATTACTGAATTAACCACTACTGCTTTTAAGTTGATCTGTAGAAGAGGAATTAGACTATAACTAAATCCTGGTGTCTTACACCCTCTGTTTCTTCTTTTTTCTGGTGGTTGGTGTTTTTTAAGTAAATTCCATGCTTAGCATGGAGCTCAACACTGGACTGGAACTCATGATCCTGAGATCAAGACCTGTGCTGAGATCAAGAGTTGGACACTTAACCAGTTGAGCCACCCAGTCACCCCATGCACCCTCTGTTGCTTTTTTTTTTCTTTTTAAGATTTTATTGTTTGAGAGAATGAGCACATGAGCTTTGGGAGGAACATAGGGAGAGGGACAAGCAGACTCTGCACCAAATGCGGAGCCCAATGCAGCTGATCCCAGAACCCTAAGGTCATGACCTGAACCAAAACCAAGAGTCTGAGGAAATCAAGAGTTTGATGCTCAACCGACTGTGCCATCCAGGCACCCCTTTACCCTCTTTCTAATTTAATGTGTTGTATGGGAAACCTAGTAACAAAACTTAGATTTTTCTCGTATCTTTTTTCCAAGATTTTTTTTCTTTTAATTTATTTGACAGACAGAGATCACAGTAGGCAGAGAGAGAGAGAGGAGGAAGCAGGCTCCCCCCACTGAGCAGAGAGCGTGACGCGGGGCTGGATCCCAGGACCCTAGGATCATGACCTGGGCAGAAAGGCAGAGGCTTTAACCCACTGAGCCACTCAGGCACACCGATTCTTCCCGTATCTTAAAAGGCTTAGGAATGGTAGTCAAGTAAAGTATTTGAGTATTACCCACTTGATACATTGAGGTCATTAAGAAAAACTCATATGAAATAGTAACTTGAGTAAATACTCTTTGATCTGAAGCAGCTCTTCCTGAGATTTGCTGTGATTTTGGGACACACTCTTCCCTTCTTGGGTAGTTGCCCTTAGTAGTTAGTGACAGGTTCTTTTATTTTTTATTTTTTTTATTTTTTTTGACGGCTTAGGTTCAGCAGACCGTACAGGATCTCTTTGGCCGAGCCCCAAGCAAAGCTGTAAACCCTGATGAGGCTGTGGCCATCGGAGCTGCCATTCAGGGAGGTGTATTAGCTGGTGATGTCACAGATGTGCTGCTCCTGGATGTCACTCCCCTGTCTCTGGGTATTGAGACTCTGGGAGGTGTTTTTACCAAACTTATCAACAGAAACACCACTATCCCAACCAAGAAAAGCCAGGTAAGGATCACCTACTCCTCCATTGTCCCAGAGATACGAGGGTCTGTGAGGGATGTGACTGCACCCCCCTTTTGTGAGCTTTTCCTAGAAAACTTCTTTTTGTCTTGGGAGTCCATACTAGTTGAATGTGGGTGCTAAGAATCTTGTGTTCTGTTCTCTTTTGTTGTTGTTCCTGAAAAAATTTTCTTTACGTGTCCGCCAGCACTGATTAGAGGGAGCGTATCAATCTTCTTCAGGGGATTAAAGTACCTTTGCAAAAAGGAGCCTCATCATTTGGGACTAAATTCCCTGTACTCCTCTGTTCTGAAAGGCAGTAAAAAGGAGGACATGGCCAAGATTAAGAGAATGTACTTGTTTTGTAGGTGAATGATGGGGTTCCTTAGATAGCAAGCAGGGCTACTTGGACAGTGCTCGCTCAAGCTTAGATTAAGAATTATTTCCCGCCTTTCCCAGTTTTGATGTTTTTCTGAAAAGCTGTTAATACTAAATGGATATTGCTCTTTGTTTAGTGATGTATTGCCAACACATCACGGAAGAGAACTATGGTGACTTTGCGTGACTGAGCATAAATAAAATGTTTGTTACCTGTTTCTTCAGATGAGCATGTTTCAGCATCTCACTTAATTAGCTCCTTTTGAGGCCGTTTACTAATGCATCTTTGTGTAGTGTATTTGCTTAGCTGAAACAATAGCTGTTGTACACTCTTTGTGCTACTCCTACTACAGTTCCCTGCAAAAACATAAATAAGTCTTTATTCTGAACATTGTGTGGATTGGGATTCTGAAGTGTTGAGATGTGAATTTCTTTCTTTGGTTTGCACTTTATATAAGGGAAGCAACCCAATCAGATTGCCAACCCAGGGAGTTTTTTTCTTCCTAGGTGTTTTCTACAGCTGCTGATGGTCAGACTCAAGTGGAGATTAAAGTGTGTCAGGGTGAGAGAGAGATGGCTGGAGACAACAAACTTCTTGGACAGTTTACTTTGGTAGGTATCACGAATCCTGGATACTGAACTCGTCATTCTTTTTCCATACAGTTAGACTACATTTTAATCCTTAATGATACCACAAAAAACTGCTAAAAACACATGGGGACCTAGTCTGTGTTACCTTGACTTCGATTTTTACCTGAAAGCCTTGCTTGTTATCTGATGTCTTAGGAACTTCATTAAGAAATTGATGAACACAAGAGCCAGCAAAATATAACAAAGTTAGGAAAAATCTCCAATTACTATTTAAAGACCTTTGATATTGGCTCTATTCAGCATTGTTATTGGTTCTTGGTGAGATGAACAGTGATGGAGATTTTTCCTCTCATTCACTGGTCCTCGGGTACATAAAGCCATGATGGCTACTTGCTGTCACAAAGCTATTTCAGGTAGCAATGAAATTACCACCCTTATTATAATTTGTGTTTTTTAGACATTTTATTTGTTCTTCCTAGGAACAAGTTTACTTGTTTACCCAGAAGACTATATAGATTTGGAAATAGAACACTGGACCTCTCATGAGAGGAGCTTAACTCCGTATATTTATTTATTTTAGATTGGAATTCCCCCAGCCCCTCGTGGAGTCCCTCAGATTGAAGTTACATTTGACATTGATGCCAATGGGATTGTACATGTTTCAGCAAAAGATAAGGGTACAGGACGTGAGCAGCAGAGTAAGTGTTTTTATTTATCCAACTGTAAGAGTAAGGCGAGGGACCTTGAAGTTGCTTTGTTTGAGAAACAGATCTTCTATGTTGTACATAGCTTTACCCCCACCCTTAGTGGAGGATGAATCCTCTTTGTTCCTTTTCTCCTTGGTTGGCAGATTCACATTAAACAGGTATGGCATAGGGGCGCCTGGGTGGCTCAGTGGGTTAAACAGGTATGGCGTTTATTACCCCAAATGGGCAGGCACTGGGCTTCTGGATCAGTGAAGTCTTGGGGAGGCAGGCAGGTCGGTTAATCTATGTATTTCAAGACCCTTGGTTTCCTTTTTTTTTTTTTTTTTTTTTAAGATTTTATTTATTTGACAGACACAGATCACAAGTAGTCAGAGGCAGGCACAGGGAGGGAGAAGCAGGCTCCCTGCTGAGCAGAGAGCCCGATGTGGGGCTTGATCCCAGGACCCTGAGATCATGACCTGAGCCAAAGGCAGAGGCTTACCCCACTGAGCCACCCAGGTGCCCCTCCTTTTTATATTATAAGGACAAGAGTATTCTTTTTATTACACATCAAAACTGGTTACTCTGTACAGGTGTATTCTTTTTCTTAATAAAATAAGCAGCAGATATTTGTACCTAAATAATAATAATAAGATGCCTTTTTTTCTCACTATAGTTGTGATCCAGTCTTCTGGTGGGTTAAGCAAAGATGATATTGAAAATATGGTTAAAAATGCAGAAAAGTATGCGGAAGAAGACCGGCGAAAGAAGGTAACTACTTTCTGCTCTTGCAGTTGGGAAGTGAAAGTGGGAATATGGATACATGAATCTATTTTTCCTCTCTCTTTGCTCATAACTTTTGTGTAGAATCCCTTTCTTATGCTCAGTCTTTCGGTATCAGAATTCTTATGTTCTCCAGTCCAGCTGTATTCACTTACAGACATCCTAGACTCTTTCAGACCACAATAACTTGGTTTTCTTTTTTTTACTCTGTAACTATATGTATCATTTAAGCATGTTGTCTAGCTTGGTGGGGACATTTAACCAACTCCTTGATTAGGAAGTCTTCATACTAAATTTCTGATTTTTCTTAGGAACGAGTTGAAGCTGTTAATATGGCTGAAGGAATTATTCATGACACGGAAACAAAAATGGAAGAATTCAAGGACCAATTGCCTGCTGATGAAGTGAGTCCTCTTTTAAAATAGTTAATGAAGTTAGGCATTGTCACCAATGGCAGTGAAGTGGGTTTTTTTGGTTTTTTTTAAGATTCTGTGTATTTGAGAGAGAGCAAGCACAAGCAGGGGGTAAGAGCAGAGGGAAAGGAAGAAGCAGACTCCCTGATGAGCAAGGAGCCCAATGTGTGGCTCATTCTGAGGACCGTGGGACTGTAACAGCCAAAGGCAGATGCTTAAACAACCAAGCACCCTTTTAAGTTTTTCTCCGTGAGTCTTGATAGGAATTCAGTGGTATTTTTTGTTTCTCAAGGCTTTTTATTCCCATTTTTCACAAAAACTTTGATTTGGGACCATTTTATAAATAAGGAAATGGAGATACAATTCTAAAGATGAGTTTAAAAAAACCCTAAAGATGAGTCCTCTATTGGTGATAGGAATTTTTTTTTTTTTTTTAAGATTTTATTTATTTATTTGTCAGAGAGAGAGGGAGAGAGAGTGAGCACAGGCAGACAGAATGGCAGGCAGAGGCAGAGGGAGAAGCAGGCTCCCCGCCAAGCACGGAGCCCGATGTGGGACTCGATCCCAGGACGCTGGGATCATGACCTGAGCCGAAGGCAGCTGCTTAACCAATTGAGCCACCCAGGCGTCCCGGTGATAGGAATTTCTTAATGTTTCTATTACTGCTACATAAAATGGCATAAGAAACCCAGAAAAAGAGTTTGGTTTTGTTTTTAAGTGCAATAAGCTAAAAGAAGAGATTTCCAAAATGAGGGAACTTCTGGCTCGGAAAGACAGCGAAACAGGAGAAAACATAAGGCAGGCGGCATCTTCCCTTCAGCAGGCATCACTGAAGCTCTTCGAAATGGCATACAAAAAGGTACAAGGGCTGAAGGGCACATCCCTAACTTGATCTTAATAGAACTGTTGATTACTGTTGTCACTGATGGCAGTCTACATGGCCATTTATATAGAACTGGGAGTACTGGAGTTGGAAATACTCTTACTGCATTCTTGACTCTGCATTGGGAGGGAGGGTGATAGCAGAGGGAGGGCTGCACAGAAACGCACCAATAATGTACAAGGAGGGAGGGAGAGTGGAACAGGCTAGATATGCCGCCTCCATTTTTTTAGTTTATCAAAGTACAAACTGTCAGACTTAATACTGAATGAGTTGCTCTCAAATATTTTAACAGATGGCATCTGAGCGAGAAGGCTCTGGAAGTTCTGGCACTGGGGAACAAAAGGAAGATCAAAAGGAGGAAAAACAGTAATAACAATAAACTTCGGAGTCAAAATATGACGCTTGGGAGTGAAGGGATTTCCTGAGCAGAAATGGGCAAAGTTCAGTCTTTTACTGTGTTTTTGCAGTATTCTATATATAATTTCCTTAATATGTAAATTTAGTGAGCATTAGCTAATGAGAATTTCAACCATACAAAGTTCATAGTACTCTGTCATTTTTCAGCAGCATGTAAAGGGTAGGGAGGGGGGACGATTTATGGATGATTATTGAAACAATGTTTTGTGCATTAGTACCCATATCTTCAAGAGGTGAAACTACCTCGAAACATAATAATGAAGGTAGTCAGCCATAGACCTGGAATGAGATCATATGGGGGATGGGATCCTTCTAGTTAACTGAGAACTACTATACCAGCCTGTTACGTATGTACAAGGTATTTTTTAACTGAGGCCTTGTAAGGCAACCCAGCTGTGTCACATTGGGAGGTAGGGCAGGAGTAGCTAGATCAGTGGAAAAATAGCTGTAATATACAGCTTTAAAATAGGGCTCCCTAACTTCCCTTAGGCATATTTTTCTAGCTGTCTTCTGTTTGTGTCTGACACTTGTGTCCTTGTTGATTTTTTTTTTTTTTTTGATCCATTCTGGGTTTCTTTTTTTTTAAATAAATACGAGAAGCATCTTGATCTCTTGTTTTTGAGGAGTGATGCTCTTGAGATTTAGCTTCAGGAATAGGACATGAATCCTACTTCCCAATTCCCTGACCTAACAAGTCACTCAGGTTTCTAACACTGGCCAAAATTCAGGATTTGGAAGGGCTGGTATGATGAAATATTACTATCAAGGACACGCCATCAGGATTTGACTCTTTCTACATTTCTCCTGTTTAATCCTGAATGAGTTGCCTTGTCCCATATTCTCTGATACAGTTCTAGTTAAATGCTGACACCTTCAGAAGCAGAAGGGTGACTATCTTTGCTGTATTAAGTGTGAAGAATTATTTACCAAAAGTTTTCCAATAGACTCCCCCCCCCCCACTTTCATGAATTACTGTCACATACCATGCCCAAAGGAATCTGTCAGTCAAGAACATGGCCTTAGACCCCATCAGATGTAATCCCTCCTTTCATTCTGTGAGATCTGAAATTGATGTATAATTAAGTCAATATAGTGCTCTAATGTGAAGGAGATTGTTTACACAAGTATTACATTCCTGAAAAATTAAGTGTTCCTTAACACCCATGTAAACATTTCTGGAGATTCATATGAAAAATAAATTCTAGGCTCAAGTTTTCAGCTATGTGAACACTTGGGAACCTTGTGGGATGTGCAGTAATTCTTTGTGAAAAATTATCTTGTGGCATGTTGGAAGATACTTATTTAGCATCTCTGGTCAGTGTTTGCCCACTGAATGTCTCTAGAGTTTCCCAATCTTTGTGATAATAAGCCCGTCAAGGACTTCTAAAGCACCCCAGGTAAGAACTAGTAGTTTTTTATTAAAGGTCCATCTTTGGCATCAGGTAAAAGAGCTGCTTGGAAAGGCACTCAGAGATACTATCTCAAGCTACACCATGTGTAGCAAACAGAGCAGCATTTCAGGTACCTAACAGTAAAAATGCTAAATGGTACAAACAACCTTGAAAGGCAAAGGTCTTCTTTCCTGAGATATAGTCTCCCTTTTGTGGTGACAACTGCCCTGACAGGGCCCAAAAGGAACTGATGGTTTCCCTTCCTAAGTAGTCTTTCCAGTTAGAATAAATATGCTGCTTAGACTTGCCTAAACAAAAAAAGTCAATAAATTTTAGCCACTGTCAACGTATATCCAGAACTACCTTCTTCACTCCTACCAATGAGTATAATTTACTTCTTGCGTTCTTCCAAGTAGTTTTCCCCCACTTAAAAGCACACCCTTGCTACTCTGGTCATTTCCCATAAAAGTCAGCAACCAGAAATCACAAGTGGCATTTCAGGGTGCCTGGGTGGCTCAGTTAAACGTCTGACTCTTGATTTTAGGCTCAGGTCATGACCTCAAGAGTTGTGGGATTGAGGCCCAAATCTGGCACGCTCTGCGCTAAGTGAGGAGTCGGCTTCAGATCTCTCCCTCTGTCTACCCACTCCCTGGTCTTAGGCACGCACATAACCCCCCCCCTTCAAATCTTTGAAAACAATCACATGGGGGTATTTGTGTCCTTTTCGGTAAGAATGGTTCCTTTACGATTTTGTCAGAGAAAGCAAGCACAAGCGGGAGAAGCAGCAGGCAGAGGGTGAAGCAGGCTCCCTGCTGAGCAGGGAGCCTTATGTGACCCTGGGATCATGACCTGAGCCAAGGCAGACACTTAGCCAAATGAGCTACCCAGGCATAGAATACTGACTTGAAGAGTACAGGCCATTTAGTTTACAGAATGGCCCTTGTCACCTGATGGTTTCCTTGAGTTCAGAGTCCTGTACATAGGTGTTTTGTCAAGCTATCAATTACCAGGAAGAATAAGATGCTCTGCTCCGTATTTCATTTTGAAGATACTTTTAGTAAGTAATCTATCAAGGTGGCTTAATTTTAAGTATAACATTTACATTAGAAATGCTATAGCAAGAAGAAACAGTAAAGATAAAAGCAAATTCTTACAGAAGGTACATAAGATTAAAAGTGAGAGACAACCCAGACCTTGAAAATAAACTACTTCAAGCAAAGGCTGTTCACTATTTCAGATACCACTGTGACTCCATTTTGCAGTTCTAAGGCTGCTTTGTAAGAGCTGTCTCCTTTCCTCTAGTATCGCAACAATGAAATGGATGAAAGCTTTAAATAAAGGAACTATAGGGTGACCTACATTACTCAATCTGTACAGCATGGAGGCAATTTAGCAATTACAGAAAGAACCACTGAAAGCCATTTCCACAGGTTAAAAACAATTATCGGCAATTTGATAAATGCTTAAACCTAATACAATGCCTCACTATCAAACCCATTTCTGCTGCAGCAGGTCACAAAGCAGAAATTTGGGGGAGGGACATGGGGAAGGGGAGAGAATCTTAGCAGGTTCCACATCTAGCACAGAGCCTAACACTGGACTACATCTCACACTGAGATCATGACCTGAGCCACAATCAGTGTTACACTTCTAATGGACTAGGCCACTCAGGTGCCCCGGTAAGAAGATATCTTAACCCTAAAGAGAACACTGCAGCTGAATCAGCCTTTAATAACTATGAGTTTCAAGTCTGAGATAGGAAACAGGAAAGTAATACATTCTACGTAGGGACATCAGGCTGTCTCAGTGGTAAAACATACAGCTCTCAATCTGGGGGTCATGAGTTTGGGCCCTAAAGTTTGACCTAAATCACAGGCTCTTAAAAAGATTCTTGCAGCCCCTGACCTAGCAGGTAGAGATTTGGAGTTAGGAGAACAAGGAGTCCACATGATTGACTTCAGGGGGTCCATAAAACACTAATGACATAATGTAAGACGGTATTAATTTTTCTGAAGAAATGGTCCACTGCTTTTATGAACTTCTTGAATCTGTGACCAAGAAAGGGTTGAAACCATAGCTTTCCTAAATGAAAACTCACTCTACTGGTATAGCTTACATTCAGTTCAAACCCTCCGGATCCCTGCCCCCTTGCCATGTGCCAGCTCGGTTTTACCTTTGTGTTTCCTAAGTATCCTTGGTCAACACTCTCCATGACACCTTAACTACACTGGCTGTTTCACTAATTTTACTCTAACATAAATTATTTTAAAAAGGATTATTCTATAAAATACAACTATCATGAACACACACAAGACAAGAGCAACTCCTTAATAGCAAACAAAAGTCCAAATTTACCCATTTCACAACTTTAAGATAGTATTTAAGTAATGTCTACATCCAATGTTGGGCTTGACCTTACACCCCCGAGATCCAGACTCAAAAACTCTACTGACTAAACCAACCAGGTACCCATTTCACAACTTTCTCAATTGTTAAAAGAGCCAGGAACCAAATAAAGTCCACATCCTATACTGCTTCATATGTTCACTAAGACTCTGCTTCCTTTTCCCCGCACTTTACTACCCATCTATCTATAAAGATATTATTTTAGAATGTTGGGGAAAGGGGCAGAGGGAGAGAGAATCTCAGGCAGCTTTCCCCACTGAGTGCAGAGTCTTAACATGGGGCTCAATCCCATGACCCCCAAATCATGACCTGAGCCAAAATCAAGAGTCAGACATGTAACCAACTGAGCCACCCAGGCACCCTGCAATTTGTTAAAGAAACTGGTCCACCAGTCCTATTATGTCCTACATACTACATTTCACTATGTCTCATAGGACTGCATTCCTGTGATGTCATTTAACATGTTCTTCCATCCCCAACTGATCTGAACTTCAGTTTCTTGACAAGAATAGGTGGTGTGTACTTCCATCAGAGGGTACATAATTCTGGTTGGCTCTTAGGTGATGTTAGCAGCTACTGATGATCATTACCTAAATCTCTGACTTCATTAAAAGTAGTACTATCCCAAAGCACCTATGTGGCCCAGTTGGTTAAGCGACTGACCAAGCCCTGCTTTGGGCTCCATGGTTAGCGAGAAGTGTGCTTGGGATTCTCTCCCCTTCTCTCTGCCCTTCCCCCAGCTCTCATGCAGGGGCTCTCTCTCCTAAATAAATAAAATCTAAAAAAAAAAAAAAAAAAGTGATACTATCCTATCTTCACTTTTTAGTTGGAATACCTCTGCAGTGAGAAACTTCCCCTCTTAAGTACCTAGTTACCCTGAGGTACAGTTCATACAGAAAAGGATTTAAGAATGAGTTGATTTTGTAGTAGTATTCAAAGGTGAGACTAATGAGGTTTCTCAGGAGTCACTGTGAGCTCAGAGATTTTAACTCATTTTATATGCTTCAATTCACTGTAGTTCTTAATGATGCTCAAAGTGTTGTATTTTTGGCCTGTGGAAACTCTTCCTATTGGCTCTTTAGTTCTTTTGATAGGACCCCAAGAACAGTCTCTTCAATAAATGGTGTTGGGAAAACTGGACAGCCATATGCAAAAGAATGAAATTGTGCCACTCTCCTACAC